GACCTTTCGTAAAGCTATATAGCTGCCAATGATTGTGATTTCTGATAGTTCTGGGCGAGGTACACTGGAAAACTTCTGGAAAGGATTTGCTATCTAGATGCCACTAAGAATATTATTCAAGGTAAGAGGTCAAAATATCTATATTAACAGAACTTTGGAAGAAGTGGATTCCAACCCTCATGGAGGACTTTTAGGGTTTCAAGACTTTAATAGAGAAAGTCACTGTAGATGTGGTTGAAATAGCAGGAGAATGAGATTTAGATGTGGAGCCTGAAGATGTGGCTGAATGGCCACAATCTTATGATAAAATTTGAATGGATGATGAGTTTCTTCTTATAGAAGAGCAAAGAAAGTGGTTTATTGACATGGCAATCCAGTGCTGGTGAAAATGCCATAAAGACTGTTGAAATGACAACAAAGGATTTAGAATTTTACATAATTTCTTGGGGCTTCTGGATGGTTCAGTTGGCTAAGCGTCTGAATTCAGCTCCAGTCATGATCTCATGAGTCCGGGCCCCGGATTGGGCAATCTGCTGTCCATACAGAACGTGCTTCAGATCCTCTGTACCCTCCCCCATCTCTCTGCTCCTTCCCAGCTCATATTCTTTCTCTCTCAAAAACAAACATTACAAAAATCAGAATATTACATAATCTTAGCTGATAAAGCAGCAGCAGCATTTGAGAGGATTGACTCCAGTTTTGAAATTCTACTGTAGGTAAAATACCAAACAGCATTGATGCGCACTACACAGATACTGTTCTTGAAAGGAAGAGGCAATCAATGCAGCATAAACAGGCACCGTTGGGGCGCCTGGGTGGCTCAGTCGGTTAAGCGTCTGACTTGGCTCAGGTCATGATCTCATGGTTCATGGATTCGAGTCCTGCATCGGGCTCTGTGCTGACAGCTAGCTCAGAGCCTGGATGGAGCCTGCTTCGGATTCTGTATCTCCTTCTCTCTCTCTGACCCTCCCCTGCACATGCTGTCTCTCTCTCTCAGAAATAAATCATTTTTTAAAATGGGGGAAAAAAAACCCAGGCATTGTTGTCTTAAAAGAGACTGCACCCCCCCCAGCCACCCTAGCCTTCAGCACAACCCTCATCAGTCAGCAGCCATCAACATGGTGGCCAGACCCTCCACCAGTAAAAAGATGATGGTTTGTATTTTTTAGCAATCAAATATTAAGGCATCTACATTTTCTAGACAATGGCTTTGCACATTTAATAAACTACAGTATAGACTAAACCTACTTTTTATGGGCACTGGGAAACCAAAAACTTCATCTGATTCCTTTTGTTATGATATATATTTGCTTTACTGCTGAGGTCTGGAATCGAACCCACATATCTCTGAGGTATGCCTATAAGTAGATGATAGAAATTGGAATAACAAAGACAATTCTGTAAATTAAAATTTATAGAATTGGAAAAAATTATATAAATTGGAAATAATTCTTTAAAAAGGAGTCTAGGAAAAGAAAGAGAAGACAAGCGAAGGCAATCCGAAATACACAGAATTGGACTCCCCAGAGAAAACGAAAATAATGGAACAGAACAATTCTGCAAGAGTACTAAATGAAACTGAAAGCACACACCATGTTCAAGATGAAATGATCCAGAATGGTCAGAACAAAGAGCTATTTGAAGAACTATCTTCAAAGATAAAAGGCCCTTTTAAAGTCAGGCAAAAAGACACTTAAGGGTTGGAGGGGGGTGGTGTGGGAGGAGGAGGAGCAAGCTGGCCTCAGTTCTCATTAACATTCAGCAATGTTAATTGCAGTAGAACAATACTTTTTTAATGTTTATTTTTGAGAAAGAGCAAGCAGGGGAGGGACAGAGAGAGGGGGACAGAGGATGCAAAGCTGGCTCTGTGCTGACAGCAGCGAACCAGGATGAGGGGTTCAAACTCACAAACCCTGAAATCATGACCTGAGCCAAAGTCAGACGCTTAACTGACTGAGCCACCCAGGCGCCCAGAACCACACTTTTAATAATCCTTGAGCCAAATGAGACAGTCTTTCGAGAAAAAAGAAAACACTTTTGGACATGAAAGAACTCGGCATAGAGTTCAGAACAAGTCAGGTGAGATGTAACTGGATTAACAAAAGAAGAGAGATAGCAATGAGCATTACATATATGGAACTGTAGGAAAGGACTTTTAAAAGTGTGCAGAAAGGAGTAACAGAACAAGCCGAGTTAATCAAATCACGTAGAAAGGACAATGAAAAAGTTGAGAGGAAAAAGGGGCACAATGGGAGCGATAGAATAAATCGGCTCCTATGTAGTTGAGGTTGTAAAGCTATTCAGACCTGATGATTACACTTGTAGATTACATTTGTAGATTACTCTTGTAGTTTTAGCGCTGCAAAGCTCAGCACCAAAAGATAATTTGACTCAAATTGAGAGGTAGGGAAAACTGAAGAGAAAGAGGAGTAAAATACAATCATTGTTTACATTAGGAAAATAGGTACAAAAGAAAAAGGTTTAAGTTATATGCGTAACCAACCATTGGGAAGAAAATGACAAAACGTAAATCTTTGCTGAGCAAAGAGTCACACAAGAGTAATACAGATACGCTGAATATAGGCAAAATTAGTTTCTTGATAAAGCCCTTAAATTTGGGGTGCCTTGTAGCTCAGTCGGTTAAGCATCTGACTTCAGCTCAGCTCATGACTTGCTGTTTGTGGGTTCGAGCCCCGTGTCAGGGTCTGTACCGACAGCTCAGAGCCTGCAGCCTGCTTCAGATTCTGTCTCCCTCTCTGTTCCTCCCCTGCTCACACTGTCTCTCTCTCAAAAATAAAGATTTTAAATAAATTTCTTAAATCTGACTTTCATTAGTAAGAATAGTCTTGTTCAAGATACACACTTAAATATGAAGATGAAGCATTATGGAATGCTCCGGAATATCTTGTTAAAAAGTGTTAAACATGGCTAGTATTAACAATTGGCATATCTAGGTGAGGTGTATACTAAGTTTGTTGGTCTCATCTTGGAAATCGTATTTGAAATTATTTAAAGCTAAAAATTAAAAATGTTCAAAAAGAAAGTTAGGCAAATAGAAACGGACTTCACTAATCTATTGCAACCAATTAGGAAATCTAATGTAAATGTCAGAACACCTAAGAAAGGAACTAAAGAGGAAAGATGTAAGAGATCTAATAATTATCTGCTGAAAGTGCTGAGTCTAATCTTCATCTCACAGAAGCCACTTACTGTTTGGCCTTGAACAAGTTTCCTATGAAAAACACCACGGGCGCATGGGTGGCTAAGTCCATTAAGCGTCTGACTGGCTCAGGTCAGGATCTGTCTCTGGGTTAGAGCCCCACAACGGGCCAGCTGCTGTCAGCAGAGATCCCTTCAAATTCTGTCCTTTCTGCCCCTCCCCACACTCACCTCTCAAAAATGAACTTGAGAGCATACACTGGCTCAAGCTCGTGAGATCATGACCTGATCCGAAACCAAAAGTGGGATGGGTAACTAGTTGAGGCAGTCAGGTACCCCCAAAATAAACTTTAAAGTACTAAAACATGTCTAACTTTGTTACAAGGTTGATAAAACTTGGAGCCAGCCACACACTTACCCATGTCGATACGATAGTTTGACTAGCTCTTAGTAGAATAATTTCTGAAGAGCTAATTTGGTAGTGAGTCAATGTTTAATATCCCTCTTATCACTGTTGAGCTTGGCATTTGTTACAACCAATCCTCTCCAAGTTTATGCTGTTTCTGCCTGCACTCCTTTCCAAAGAGGAACACATTATCGCATGGCATAGATTTCTTCACCCCAGATCTCTAGGAGCTTCTCTTAGACACCCATTTTTTAAAATGTTTATTACTAAGAGACAGAACATGAGCATGGGAGGGGCAGAGAGAGGGGGAGACAGAATCTGAAAGAGGCTCCAGGCTCTGAGCTGTCAGCACAGAGCTTGATGTGAGGCTCCAACTCCCAAGTCTTTGAACTGTACGGTCATGACTTGAGCCAAGATGGATGCTTAACTGACTGAACTACCCCGGTGTCCCCCTAATTCTTCAGTGAACAAAGCACTTTGAACACACGCTCCACACCTCCCTTCTATCTCTTCTATCTCCCTCCCATTCTTTGGGATCTCTTCTGGAAGCTGGTATGTACAAGTTTCCGCTTTCTGGCTTCCTAACCCTATCCAGATGTACAAAGTTCCTTCCCAGCAGGATAGTATCACACACTTGAATGCCAAATGTGGACATTCAAGGAATGTCATGAGGGTAAGTATTCACTGACCACACAGCTAGCAAAAACATGTTAAAAGACTCTTTTGGAAGGTATTCAAATAAGTCAATTTTAATTAAGATCCTCCACATACACATTTGCTACTGAAAATTGAACTACCACATCAAAACAGTTTCATTACAATTCTGATTTTTGAAAACCAGAAAAATCTAGCCCATGTACCCTGACCTAATTATAATTACAAGTGAGGCAAACCACCCAATATTCTCTATATATTCCTCACTCACAAGTTACTTGGCTTCCAACTTGATGTTAGGTTTTCCCTCTCTTGTTTTTTTTAAATGTTTCTATTTGGGAGAGAGAGTGCGCATGAGCGGAGGAAAGGGAGACACACACGCACATAGAGAGAATTCGAAGCAGGTTCCAGGCTCCCAGCACAGAGCTCTACTCTACAGAGCTCTAGTCGGATCCTTAACCCAACTGAGCCACCCAGGAGCCCCATGTTATGTTAACCCGTCTTAATGATTTCAGGCTTCTCAAACACACGGCAACACTCAAAACCTACTAGTGCTTCCTTGGGTCATATCAAAAAGTGGAACTTAAAGTATACTGAAGTCATTCAAATGCAAACTCCAGGATTCCTCACCAATTATAGGGTATCAAGGTAGAAAAGACAGAACTAATATCCTAGATTATCAAAATATTATACAGTTTGTCTTAACAGAGCAGCTTCCCCAAGCTGCTGCATACTGATCCTAAAATTACTAGCAAGAAAAACACAGTAGAATAAGGTTTGTTTACAACGACTCCATGTCATAATTATTCTCCGTGTTGGTATCCTCAGAAGGATCTTTATGATACAGGCAATAATGACATCTACATCTAAATCTTTCCACTCTCGATTCATCCTAGAAGAAAAAAAAAGATGAATTGCATTAATTTAAATAAAATGGAATAATTGCACCACCGTGATGAACTGTTAGCAATCCTCAAATCTAGGACTGGTTATTAGAATAGCCTTTTTTAAAAAAAAATTTTAATGTTTTTTATTTCTGAGAGAGAGAGAGAGAGACAGCATGAACAGAGGAGGGTGGGAGAAAGAGGGAGACACAGATCTGAAGCAGGCTCCAGGCTCTAAGCTGTCAGCACAGAGCCCAACGCGGGGCTCGAACCCACGAACTGTGAGATCATGATCTGAGCAGAAGTCTGATGCTTAACCGACAGAGCCACCCAGGTGCCCCTAGAATAGTCTTTGAAATACACTTGTGAGGCAAAGAGGAGGCAGGACTGAAATGCATGGGCACTAAAGAATGCCAGATTGCGGATCATTCTGTAATGGTAACACCTGATTGTCAAAAATATATTCCAGGGTCATTCTGTGACTGCCTTCAATGTTAAGGCCTCCTGGACCCCGGACTCAGGTCACTTGCCTTCTTCCTACAGAGTACATTTTACATCTACCATAAGATAGAAGTTGGAGATTTTTTTTTTGGAGAGTGGGTGACGGGGGCAGAATTGCCAAGCAGGCTCTGCGCCGGTCAGCACAGTCCAATGTGAGGCTCGAGCTCAGGGCCTGAACCGCAATCAAGAGTCAAGATGCTTAACCCACTGAGCCTTCCAGGTGCTCCAAAAGTTGGAGAATCTTAAAAACCCAAATGTCATTCCTGTCCTGCACTCATGAGTGGCTGCTGCTTGTCACGCTTAACATCTCAATGGATGTTGAGTGCGCAGAGTTGGGCAGTGCCCAGATCACAGGAGCCTACCGTGGAACTCTGCTTGAAGTAGCGATGGTTTTTGACCAGCCACATCAGCCTTTCCATCCTTTCTTTCCGTGCAGTTAACAGAGTCCTGACTCCAGTTCTCCTCCTGTTGCTGAGTATTCTGTCCACAAGCCCCTGTGGTTTCTTCTCGCTGTCCTGCTGGGTTGGATATTCCGGGAGAGGCGAAGGGAGTTTGACGGTAGGGTCAAGAGTCAATTTACTAAGGTTCTTAACTAACACTTCAGAGATGGTTCGAGAGGCGGCTGAAAGAAAAATGAAGGTCAAGGTCCATTAGGGTGAATTGCAATATCCAGAAGTCACTGGTCTCTTAAAACAGGTTAACACGGACAATGAGGGGTTCTCCCTGGGGCGTGTGGGTGGCTCAGTCGGCTGAGCGACCGACTTGGGCTCAGGTCATGATCTCATAGTTTGTGGGTTCGAGCCCCATGTCGGGCTCTATGCTGACAGCTCAGAACCTGGAGCCTGCTTCCGATTCTGCGTCTCCCTCTCTCTCCCCCTTCCCTGCTCACGCTGCCTCTCTCTCTCTCAGAAATAAATAAAACACTAAAAAGTTAAAAAAAAAAAAAAGAGGTTCTGGGGCACCTGGGTGGCTTAGTCGGTTAAGCGTCCGACTTTCGCTTAGGTCATGATCTCGCGGTTCGTGGGTTTGAGCCCCGCGTCGGGCTCTGTGCTGACTGCCAGCTCAGAGCCTAGAGCCTATTTCAGAGTCTGTGTCTCCCTCTCTCTCTGACCCTCCCCTGCTCACGCTGTCTCTCTCTCTCTCCTAGAAATAAAAAAAAAAAAAAAAAGAGGTTCTTCAGAGTGAAGATGACACAGCATGTGACCTACGCTGCTAGTCTAACACACTTCACGTGGGGAGAGCATACATTTGAAAATGTGCTTAAGAATCCACTATGATAGGGGGCACCTGGGTAGCTCAGTCAGTTAAGGTCATGATCTCAGGTTCTGGAGTTTGAGCCCCCCATCGGGCTCTGTGCTGACAGTGGGGAGCCTGCCTGGGATTCTCTCTCCCTCTCTTGAAATAAATGAACTTAAAGTTAAAAAAAAAATCTACAATGATGGGAAACGGTACATTCTCAGAATTTCCCCCTCTTCTTCCTTATTCGCAGCTCTGAAGGTTAGATTTTTTCCACCCATGGTGTCAAAAGATACCTTATGTACATGATTCCAAGTGGGAAGATATGGTCCAAAAATCTGGTATTTGCCCACTTTCGTGTGTGAACTTTTAATAGAAGTGGGGAGGGGAGCAGCAAACCATTAATGCAAATCAAAATTAGTAAACAAGTTTCAGCAGTTCAGCTTGATAATGATTACAAATAAACTTCTTAACGTTTTCCTAAGGAGAAAGTGGGTAGGAGAAAACACTCGCCTGTGAAATAGACAAAGTAACCTGAAATGTAACAGTCTCTCCTTAAACAGAACTAGGAAGTCAAACTGGCTGTTCCCCTCTTCACCCCCCACCCAGCGTTTTCATGGTACTAAACCTCTCCACTCCCATTTGTTTATTTTGGGAAATCAGCCACTCAACTTTGCCTCTTTCCACCCAAGCCTTATGCACTCCTATTTCACGTTAAGGCAGCTAACATTAATTTAACATTATTAAATTTTAACATTTTAACATTAATTTTAACATTAATTTCCTGTGTGGGAAAGCATTAAATAAATATAAAAGTCAAGATCCATTGGACTTCTAGGGGCTAGTGCACAGGTAAATAAAGATCCCTAGTTGTGCAAACGTCAGGGACTATGGCAGATTCACTCGAGGAAAAGCAAAGACCAATCTGATAGAACTATCAAACAGATATCCCCTTCATTAGCTTCCCCTATTCCCTTGTATATGTCCACCCAGGTTCTTTCCTCAAGGAGGCAGCGGGGGGTGTCGGTCTGGTGGCGGGGGAGGGGGAAGAGAGTGGTGCATGCCTGGGGATGCTGATGGTAGCAGAATATAAGACGCCAAGCTCCCCATCCAGCTTCCTAGCTGCCCAGTGAGGAATGGTTGGGGCCCACCTACCACCACCACCCAACCCCACCTTTAGGGTAGTAAGGTTTCAAACCCATGTGAGTGGTTCTCCCTGGCCAAAACTGGAATTGGGTAGATACTGGGTGGATATTGCTAATTAGCAATATTCCCAGAGCAGTGTTACTAAGAAAGCCCTCCAGAGTCCATCCTACTAATTTACATTACACTCACTGGCTTTTATCAATGGGCCCCCCTTCCTTCAATTTCCTCTGAAAAGCCACTTCCCTGTTTATTAACATTCCTAAAGGGTAAATTTGGCTGGAAAACCAACCCAGAAAAGGTTGGGGAGATTACGTTGTAGTCTAGCTTCTCAAGTTTTGTTCCTTTTTACCATCCCTGACACGCATTGCTGATAGGCAGACATTTTAAGTCAGCGCCTAGGAAAATTCTGGATTGCTCTTCCCCAGAAACCAGGCAGGAAGCATTGAAGTATCTCTGAGAACAGTAAGCAAGAAACGCCGCTTTCCCAGCTTCTCCAGCCTTCCCTGTTTCCTCACCAGAGGGACCTACATCTGCAACACGGCCCTCCCGCCTGCAAGTGGTTTACTTCTCTGCATTCCTCTGTCTTCAGAAGGGGCACCATCTGGCTTACCTGAGCCTCCCTGGGAATTTTCTCCACTGGCCATCTGAGAAGGTTCTGGGCCACAGGATGGGTAAAGCTTCGTTGGCGAATCCATTAAAAGCCTAGTCACAGACCGAAGCTCCTTCTAGATCTTTGGATTCCAGTGGAAGCTGATGTGATGCTCAGAACTCAACTAGCTGCAAAGTAACGGGGGCGGGGAGGAACGAGATAGCCCAGAAAGAGCGAGAAAAACCGAGACTCTTACAAATCGTGGCAAGGGAAAGAACAAGCCCCGAAGTTTAGGTCTGGTTTCCTCTTAAAACTACAGATAAGCCCATCAGCGAGCCTATTGTAATGTAAATGCTGATGGTTAGAGGGCTAAGGTGGGTGGGCGTCGTTCTATGGTGGACTAACGGGATAACTCTTCATCTGCTCTGCATTAAAACAATCACACGGTCACGTAGGCTGGAAATTTAACAAGAGCTTATGGTTGGGTCTCCCTAAGGTTGCCTTAAAAATCAGGGTTTTTTTTCAAGCTACGTCTGGAGATGGCTCCTGGTCTGTGAACTGCGCTTTAAGGTATTCTTGAGCCGAGAGATGAAACGTGGTTTTCCTCCCAACTGCTGATTAATTCCCAATTAAACTGAGAAACGCTTCCTTAAAGTTTTCCTGGCCTCACGTCTTCAACCTGTGGTTGCTAGTAAGGGAAAGTAGAGGAGAAATAAAGTGTCTGTTATAAACACTTTAATAGCTTGATATTTTATGGATGTGTATTTTGGATCACCTTTTTTTTTTTAATGTTTATTTTTGAGAGAGGGCGAGTGCCAGCCCGAGCCCGCCACCATTGAGGGAGGGGCAGAGGGAGGGAGGACAGAGCATCCAAGGTGACTCTGCGCTGACCTTGACAACAGCAAGCCCCACGTGGGGCTCGATCTCAACGACAGGTTGTGACCTGAGCCAAAGTCAGGCGTTCACCAGAGGGAGCCACCCACGTGCCTCTGTAACTTTCTTTTGTTTTATAGACTATTGGTTGAATTGCAGTTAACGTTTGTGAGCAGCTGAAATTAATGAACTTTATAAATATCCCCCCCCCCACTGCCGCCCATACTTGTACTGAACTCTGGCAAAGATCACCAATATGAACTGCTGATTGTTGGAAGGAGAGGGGAGAGCGAGTCCCCAGCTGTCCCGTCCTTTCTCCCATCTACTCAGTATGCAGCCCCCCTCCCACCCCCCTTTTAGCTGGAAATCATGAGACAATACTCAGACACACTCTTGCTTGTTTTTAGTAAAAAGCAAGTCGAAGTTCCAATCAAGACATATTTTTATAGGAGATGTGGAGCAGCCCTAAATGCATGCTAGGTCACAATACTTTATTCAAGTGTTTCTGGAAAAGTGTGGCCTCCAGATAGCCAGCGTCAATAGAACCTGGTAACTTGTTAGATCTGATTAGAAAGCACCAACTCCAGCTCACATCTACTGACTCAAAAGACTGCAGCCCAGCCGTCAGCGAGGTAATGCCTCCCAAGTGATTCTGATGTGCGCTGGTTTGCAAAGCGCTGCTTCACGACATTCTTCACTCTCCACTCCTGTTCTGCTCTCGGCTGTTCGTCCCTTGCCCTGCATACCTGCCCCACGGCAGTCTCTCAAAATTCCATTGGGAGAAGTGAGTGCAAAAATCGGATTACAGGAGGTGTTAAGATTAAGAAGACAGTGAAAAAAGCTGGCATAGACTCTCAGGAAATCCAGGTTTAGGACAAAGGTTTATGGCTTCTGGAGCCACAGCTGCCAGAAGGTGTGGGATGCGGATGGCGGAGACTCCATTTGCTTCAACATGGCAGATGACATGAAAGCAACAGAAGGGGAAAATACGGAGAGACCGGATAGTTGGGGAAACACTCCCAAAATATGCTTTAAACAATTAGATTTTTTAAAATTGTATTTATTTATTTATGGGAGAGAGAACGAGCCCAAGTGAGCAGGGGAGAGAAGGGGAGAGAGAGAGAGAGAGGAAGAGAATCCCAAGAAGGCTCCGTACTGACAGTGGGGGCTTGAACTCAGAAATGCTGAGATCATAACCTGAGCCAAAACCAAGAGTCAAGATGCTTAACCAACTGAACCACCCAGGTGCCCCCAGATTTTAAAAATCTTCCAGGGAGCACCTGGGTGGCTCACTTGGTTAAGCGACTGACTTCGTTGGGCTCAAGTCAGGATCTCGCGGTAGGTGAGTTGGAGCCCTGGTAGGTGAGTTGGAGCCCTGCGGGGGGCTCTGTGCTGACAGCTCGGAGCATGGAGCCTGCTTTGGGTTCTCTCTCTCTCTCTCTCTGCCCCTCCCCTGCTCACACTCTGTCTCTCAGAAAAAAATAAATGTTAAAAATTATTTTTAATAAAAACTTACCGTATATTTAAACACCTAATGAACCCTATATATACCTCACTTAGTGAGTATCCACACATAACTATGTGAAACCCAGAGATGGGTTTCATCTCTGTCTCCTAAGTACTAGTTTATTGCCATGCTTAACATTTAAGAGTATCATCCATCCTATTTCTTTTTTTAAAAAAAAATATTCTTTTTGGGGAGCCTGGGTGGCTCAGTCAGTTAAGTGCCCGACTTGGGCTCAGGTCATGATCTCACGGTTTGTGGGTTTGAACCCTGCATGGGGCTCTGTGCTGACAGCTAGCTCAGAGCCAGGAGCCTGTGTTGGATTCTGTGTCTCCCTCTCTCTCTGACCCTCCCCTGCTCATGTTGACTCTCTCTCTCAGAAATAAATAAAAATATTTAAAAAAATTTTTTAATTCTTTAATATTTTATTTTTCAGAGAGGGAGAGAGAGCAAGCAAGGGAGAGGCAGACAGTCTGAAACAGGCTCCAGGCTCTGAGCCGTCAGCACAGAGCCCAATGCGGGGCCCAAACCCATAAACCCCATGACCATGACCTGAGGCGAAGTCTGACTAAGCCACCCAGGCGCCCCCTATCCATCCTATTTCTTCTTTCCCTCTATTGCTGCTTTGAATATTCTCAACACTTCAAATGCATGTTGTACCTTTTAACAGGAATGTTGATCTAAGTAAAACAGAAAATAGCCACATCAGAAGAATGAGGAGATTGTAAATATGTGAGTGTGAGGTACAGGAGAAGAAACAGCTAACTCTGAGTGCTGGAATTCAATAATGCCTAACACTAAAACATAAAAATAAAACCACCTTGTCTGTGCCCGCCCCAAACCAGCGGTTCTCCACTCACCCCTGCATCCAGTGAGTCACTGCGCCCTCCCGACGCCGACAGAGCAGATGTGGGCAGAGCGATGGTGGCCAGGCTCCGACTGGCGTTGCTGCTGCTGGCGCTGCTCCTACCCACGCTGATTTACTCAAATCCAACAGCTGTCATAACGCTTTCAAGTAACTCCTCCCAGAAAACCTCGATGGCGCCAAATCCAGTTAAAGCCACCACCACACCAATGACAGTGCTCTCCAGTCAACATGCAGTCTCTTTGTGATCTCGCTCTCCCTTCTACATCTCTACTGTTAAGAGACTCAGGCCAAGAAACATCTATACCTTCCTCCCCATCTTCTAAACCTAATCCAAATGGCGTCTAGACATCCGGTGTGACAAGGAGAAGACAGGTCTTCAGTGAATCTGCTAATTCCACACCTTATTTTATTGACCCAGAAAATGTTGAGGATCCCAAATTCGATTGGTTTGAAGAGCAAGTGAAGTGTTTGACTAGATGATGAATGTCTGTTAAATCTACTGGAGTTTCATGTACCAGATGAAGAGACAGCATCCAAGAGTAGTTATGAGGTGATTTCTTTTTAATTTTTTTAAATGTTTTGTTTATTTCTGAGAGAGAGAGAGTGAGCAGGGGAGAGTCAGAGAGAGGGAGACACAGAGTCTGAAACACACTCCAGGCTCTGAGCTGTCAGCATAGAGTCCAATGTGGGCTCAAACCCACAAACTGTGAGATCATGACCTGAGCCAAAGCTAGACGCCCAACCGACTGAGCCCCCCAGGTGCCCCAGCTACAGTGGTCTTGATAACCAAAGTCCTTTTTCCCATCTTTAGGAACCCACACCAGAACAACCGTATCCAACAGATCTCAAGCTACTGTGTGTGAGAATGAGCATTCCGTTTTGCTTTGTACCTGAATGCTGCACATCTATTTTGGATTGTTATTATGTTTGTGTATTTACGCTTTGATTCATAGTAACTTCCCATATTTTGGAATTGATTTGCATTGAACACAAACTGTAAATAAAAAGAAATGTCTGAAAAAGCAATAAATAAGTAAATAAAAATAAAGTATCATTATAAGCTTGCTATTTTGAAATGAGGAGACAGGGGCGCCTGGGTGGCTTAGTCGGTTAAGTGTCCGACTTTCGCTTAGGTCATGATCTCGCGGTTCGTGGGTTCGAGCCCCGCGTCGGGCTCTGTGCTGACTGCCAGCTCGGAGCCTGGAGCCTGTTTCAGTCTGTGACTCCCTCTCTCTGACCCTCCCCTGCTCGTGCTGTCTCTCTCTCTCTCTCCTAGAAATAAATAAAACATAAAAAAATAAATAAATAAAAATAAAATAAAAAAAAATGAAATGAGACAAATTGGGTGCCTGGGTGACTCAGTCGGTTAAGCTTCTGACTAGCTCAGGTCATGATCTTGTGGTTCGTGAGTTCAAGTTCCGTGTTGGGCTCTGCTGGCAGCTTGGAGCCTGGAGCCTGCTTTGGATTCTGTGTCTCCCTCTCTCTCTCCTCCTTCCCTGCTCCCTCGCTCTCAAAAATAAATAAACATTAAAAAAAAGATCTAGTCTCTTAGCAACTTTGACCTTTATAATACAGTATTATTGAGTATAATCATTATTTTGTGCCTCAGAACTCAAGAGCTTATGTACTAGCTGCACATGATGCCCTCTTCTAGTACCTTCGTGCTTTGTGCTGGTTTCTTCATGGTCTCGGATACTCTCAGTAGTAGACACAGTAGGAGGGACACGGCAGGTGGACAAAGTGGTTGACAGGAAAACCTTTAAGGAAACAGTCCCAATGAGCTCAAACTTCTGTGTGTGGGGAAGACGGCCACTACTCGTCCTTCTGTCCTAGGACACTCAGGCGTCGCTTGCAAAGCAGG